ACTGATCACAGAGTATCCGTGACTTTTCTCCATCTTCCATGGGAGTGTTTTGTTAATTCTCAGCTGTGGAAACACAAGCCAAAGCCAACTGGAAACTGTTGAAACGGTCTTGATGACAAGTCAGCCTTATTGCACACCATCATAGGCAAGAGCTGAGTGAGTAAATGGGTGGTTTAATTACCACCAACCCCATTGTGGTCGTTGTTACTCCCAGGTAATCCTGCAGGTGATGGGCTCGGTTAATGGGGAGACACTCTTTTTGCTGTCTCTGCCTAAAAGCCCAGCGAGCAGCCTCTTGCCAGGATTGGGCACGAGCCATCGAAGCGCGATAGAACCAGCAGCTGCTTTGATTCGGAAATAAATTCAGCCCAACAAACTGCCCGTCAGGGTGAAAAACTTACACTGGAAGGAATAAACATTATGAACATTATATATGTAAAGAATCCATCTGAGGGGAAGTTAAATTGCTTTTTTTCTATAAATGTTTGGTAAATTTTAAGGAGCTAATACAACCTACTAATTTTTCACGTTACTGTATTGCTTTTAGAGTATCCTTGAAGTTGACACACTTAAAGACACAGAAGACACATCTAGGGCTGTCTTACCTTGGGGCAGGGGGAAGCAGCTGTATGTAGTTGATGGGACATCCCAGGCTTCCTTCCTCATCCAGCATCCTGCTGAGCTGGTGACCGTGGCAGTGACCAGTCCCTGGCCAGCTGCTCTGATTCATCACCGGCTCGGGACCAGCACAGATGCCTGTTGCTGGTGTTCAGAAAGCTCCAACAGGCAGTGGGGGGGTTATTAGATATTTTTTTTATTTATTTATTTTTTAGTGCTAAACCTCAGTCGTAGTGGTACAGTCCCCACTGCAAGGCCCTGCTAACTCAGAGCTGGGAATTCAAGGATGAGTATCTTTGCCCTTGTTATTTGAAATGCCCTAAAACCACCACCAGTAAATACAGCCAAGCAAGGCCCTTTGCGTATGGACCCTGCTCCCCTGCCCTTGCTGTGCCCCCGATGCCACACGAGACAGCATTTTGCTGGGTGTTAACATGGGGATGAGTGAAGAACCAGGGAGTTTGGTGTTCCCCATCCCAGGAAGCCGGGCTGGACTCGTACCCGCGTGAGCAAGAAGGGGCTGCAGTTCTTCCGCTCCGTGTTTCCTGTTGTTCTCTAACACTATTCCTGGAACTGGGGTGACTTCAGTTGTGTTATCACGCAACAGCAAAAGCTGAGCTCTCATGGGGCTGTGAGTCAATGAGCTTTGGGGATCTTTACTGTTTCCCCCTGGAGTTCAGGCACCAGTTTTCATTCCCAGCTCCTTTTCTCAGCTGCGAGCCCTCCCGTTGCAGGGGCAGCGCATCGTCAGTTTTCTGAAAAGACAACCAAATACAGGGTTAACAAGCGGGAAAGGTAACGGTGCTGCAGGCTTTGGAGACGGATCTGGTATGTGCAGAAGGACAGGCTCTATCCCATAGAGCTCTTAAACTCAGATAACTGAGCAGGTAACGTTCATCCAAATGAGAAAAAGAAAGAAAAAAGCCTCATTGTCAAAATAACGGGGGGGGGGGGAACCCCAAACCACCCAAGTTTGAATAGTAGTTGGCCATTTGACAAACCGTGTGGAGACGGGGCACCCTGTGCTCTGACTCTGCCTGTACCCTCTGCTGAGTTGGGAGGGAGCCGGCCGCGTCCTGCTCCTTTTGGAATCCGAGGGGAGCGATGTCCTGCTCCTTTTGGAATCCGAGGGGAGCGCGGGGCGACGGCCGCGGCCAGCACCGCTGCTCGTACCTGCCTGCGCCGTGCCCCGGAGCCGTGGGGGGCTGAGGGCACAGCAGGCACATATGGAGCTTGTCGCGTTGGCCCCCAGAGAGCTCAACCCCAGAACGTGCTGGTTTGAGACCCAAACTGTCTTAACGGAGACTTTTGAGAACAAAGATTGTAAACTCCGAATGGGGAGCCGAGGGCACAGCAGGCACAGACGGAGCTTGTCGCGTTGGCTCAACCCCAGAACGTGCTGGTTTGAGACCCAAACTGTCTTAACGGAGACTTTTGAGAACAAAGATTGTAAACTCCGAGGTCTCGGTGGGCCCTGGACCAGCAGGTTGGCTCCTTGGAAGTCAAAGAAAGTTACTCCAAAGCACTCCCCCTGGTTTTCGAGGCGGTTTCTGGCTGCCCAGGCCTGGGGCAAACCTGGCCGTGCCATCTGCCATCTCTGCTGCCTACGTTGACACCTTTTCTCTGAGACTATCTGCTGCTTCGTGTACGATAACCAGGTTTCAAATACATGAATGTTTCTAGGTTTTAAGACGTGATTTAATAAAAAGAGATGTTTCTGGAAAAGCAGGTTCTCTCTCGTTTGTTTGTTTTGTTGTTGTTGTTGTTGTTGTTGCTCTCTGGCTGAGTTTGCAGGCCCAGGAGATGCCAGGTGCTGGCAGGCGAGGGAGATATGGGCACCAGCCATCGCTGAACGGCAGCCGGCAGGGAAATCATAGAATCATAGAATTGTCTAGGTTGGAAGAGACCCTTGGGATCATCGAGTCCAACCATCTCCCCTACTCTACAAAGTCCTCCCCTACACCATGTCCCTCAGCACTGCATCTAAACGGCCCTTAAACACATCCAGGGATGGGGACTCCACCCCCTCCCTGGGCAGCCTGTTCCAATGCCCGACCACTCTTTCGGTGAAAAATTCTTTCCTAATGTTCAGTCTAAACCTACCCTGTTGGAGCTTGAAGCCGTTCCCTCTCGTTCTGTCACTAATTACCTGTGAGAAGAGACCAGCACCAACCTCTCTACAGTGTCCTTTCACGAAGTTGTAGAGAGTGATGAGGTCTCCCCTCAGCCTCCTCTTCCTCACACTAAACAGTCCCAACTCCCTCAGCCGCTCCTCATACGATTTGTTTTCCAGCCCCCTCACCAGCTTCGTTGCCCTCCTCTGCACTCACTCCATCACCTCGAGATCTCTCTTGTATTGAGGTGCCCAAAACTGGACACAAATGCAGAAAACTCCAGAGCTCCAGAGGTGCAAGAGGCACTTCAAAGGGCATGAAGGTAAAAACTCCCAATGCTTTAAACAAGGGACCATCCGAGAGAGGCAGATCCAGCGCTGGGATTGGGGTGGGATGGGGCCATGCACAGTTCCAGCAGCATCAGCGGCTTAGCGAGCGTGGCCTGGATCACTAAGGAATTATAGAGCATTAAGCATTATCCCTTTCCCCAGGAGGAAGGCCAATCTCCCAGCAGCATCCTGCACAGCGAGAAACAGAGCCCTGGAGAAACTCAAGGGAGGCTAAGGGCCTGATAATCCCTCTAGGGAAAACGGACAAGCTCCAAAATAAAGCACATCCCCAGGAGGGCAGAAGGGATCACATTCCCTTTGTTGCAGGTCTGTTTGATTTAATTCCCCAAGTGAGCAGGTCTGGCTTGATCTCCCAGCTGCAATTTTCCCCTTTATCTCCAATGCTGACAGTGGCCTGTGTGTTCATCTCCCATGGAAGGCAGGAACCGCAGCCCCTCTGAGCACAGCGACCAGCGCCAAACAGGCCGGACAACTCTGGCATTTCAGGCATTTTTCTTCAGCTCTGGGATCTTTCACCCTTCTTTTCTGCATCCTCCCCCCTTTGGAGACATCCTCCTCCGCGTGCCACCACCACAGTGGGGTGGGACATGCCATATCCATCTCAGCAGCACAACAGATGACAGAATTCACTTTTAACCCCTTGCCACCACCCGCGCAGGTGGCTTCTGGCCAGACACCCGGCCACTGTCCTCCTGGGGCTTTCACAGTGTCACTGGAGCCTGGAGCACCCCGTGGCCAGAAAGATGGTCTCTATTCTTTACCCTGGAACCATTCCATGCCGCACTGTCTTGCTTCCAAATCTGTGTCTCAGGGTACAGAGTCAAATTTGATGCAGTTAAAACAGATTATTTTTAGAATCATAGAATCATAGAATCATTGAGGTTGGAAGAGACCCTTGGGATCATCGAGTCCAACCATCTACCCTACTCTACAAAGTCCTCCCCTACACCATATCCCTCAGTACCCCATCTAAACATCCCCTAAACACATCCAGGGACAGTGACTCCACCCCCTCCCTGGGCAGCCTGTTCCAATGCCCGACCACTCTTTAAGTGAAAAATTCCTTCCTAATGTTCAATCTAAACCTACCCTGTTGGAGGTTGAAGCCATTCCCTCTCGTTCTATTGTTAATTACCTGTGAGAAGAGACCAGCACCAACCTCTCTACAGTGTCCTTTCAAGTAGTTGTAGAGAGTGAGAGTACCTGTCACCCTCTTCCCTCTCCCTTCGTGCTCGGTGATTTGATGGACACAGGCCCAGAGCAGGAGCTGTGCAGGTGGAGTTTTGCTTTGCCCTGTAAAAGGGTGAGGAACTGAGATGTCTCTTGGGGGTTTAAGGTGAATTCACACGTCTCCGAGTGAATTCCTCTTTCCCTCTTCCCTTGTCACCCAGCTGTGTGTGGGGCTGTCCCAGCAGATCCTGCCGGTGCCAGCCCTGTGCCCCTCGCAAGCGCCGTGTGCCACGTCTGGCACTGACGTGTCGGATTTGCCGTCCCCTCGCCAGCTCTGCAGCCACATCAGCTGTGCCCTGGCACCGCCGGGACACCGGGAACTCGTGCCTGTGCTACACGGTGACACCCTGCCATCACACCCTGCGGGTCCTGTCCCCTGCCATCCTCACACCTGGGGTTTGTAATGGAGCATTCGGTTTCATGCCAAAACATGAGCGTGGAGCGGGATTCCCGGGTAACAGCTCTGGGGCAGCGCTCCGCTCGCTGGGGGTGTAAACACAGCGAGGCAGGGGATTAGCTCCAAAGCGCTCACTTGCCAGGCGAGTTTCACCCTCCCGGTCCTTAACGCTGTGTCACTGACTCAGAAAGAGTTGACAGAAACTACGATAGACGGCTCTCACATCTTGACTGGCAGGGGAGGAGGTGAATAATGGCTGGATTTATTTTTTTGTTATAAAGGCAAGCGGGCATGCAGCGAAACCAGCAGATGTCAGATTCAATCCTCACAAAGGGAGGCGTTTTCTTTGCACCAGGTGCAGATAAACTGTGGGATTCATTATTTCAGGATTTATGGGCTTTACACGGGCTCAAAAGCCAACCAGACAAGACCACGAAAGAGAAATCCATTGAGATCTCCCCAGCACAAAGGCACATTGTTGGCTCTGTACGTGCCTGAGCCATGAGTCACCAGAGGCGGGGAAATGTCACTACCCGCTTGCCCGGTCTTTATCCTCAGCCCCGGGCACCCGCTGCGGGCCCCAGGACACAGGATGGTGCATCGTGGACCTCTGCTTTGGCCGAGCACAGTGGGTCACGAGTAAACCTTAAACCATCCCTGTGTTATTTAAGCTGAACTGCAAAGCGCTGCCTCCTTCCATCCAGTCCTGGTTTGCTGGCTGGCAGCAGAGCAGCTCCTCGGGGCACCCAGCGCATCTGGGCATCCCACAGCTCCCGGCACCCCGGCAGCTTTGGCAATAAAACCCTATTTTCAGTAGTATCATTTCCAGGTATCAGTTGAAGAAGGTGTAATTGCTCTGTTCTGGCTCGGAGGGTGCAAAGGTAAGAGCCTTATCAGCAGGATACAGTGCTCCTTCCCGTAAACACACCTGTGTTTCCAGCAGCCCGGCAGGAGCGGGGTGAAGGTGCTCACGTCGAAGCAGCCCCGGGGTGCGGCTCTGCAGGGCTGCCAGCCCGGGACTGCGGCAGCTTCTGGCCAAAGGTTATTTACGTCACAGCGGGCCATGATCCCCGGGGCCTCCCCAGCCCAGGATTTGGGCACACAGCCTTATCAGAGGTGTGGAAAATCCTGAGCTGTGGCACGAGCGTTTCCCGGTCGCACCGACTTCCCCGAGAAACCTGCCGGTGGTTAAAAATAGGTGCTGCCTGGAAATAACGCTGTGGCAGCACTTTTCCTTGTGTTTTTGTGTCCAAGAAGCAGCCGTCACCCAACAGACAAGGCAGTGGGGAAAATGTTTTCCTCCTGGGCTGCCGTGTGCCCTGAACCCCCCCTTGTCTCCTCCAGAGCTCTCCCTAAATCTCTGCGCTGACGGGGATGAATGATAGGACATTCCTTCCAGGGGATGAATGATAAGACAGTTCATCTGGTGGCAATGGCTCCTTCCATGGCTGCTTGTGCCCAGACGCCTGCTCTTTGTGGTTGGACTTGATGATCTCAGAGGCCCCTTCCAACCATGAAGATTCTGTGATTCCTCAGGCCATGGCGGAGATTATGGCAGGGTGACACCAAAAGGCGTTTTCTGCTCCTGACCTGGCATGACAGGGCCACACCAGGATGGGGATAAAGAGCGGATATTTTGCTATCTATGGAGGGTCACCCCCCTCCTGTCAGGCCCGAGCCCCCCCGGGGCCTGCCCCAGCCTGTGGCCCCGCTGTGTGTGAGGGGAGGGCGGTGAGGGCGGTGTGGGCGGCAGGGACCCCAGTGGCCCTCCAGCCACCTTCCCTTTCCCCTCCGGGCAGGTAACGGGGCGGGGAGCGGCGTTCCCCTCCCGGCAGCCGGCGGGGAGCGGCGGCACGGCCGCGGCCATGGCCTGAGGGAGCGGCCCGCCCGCCGGGGGCCTGTCATGGCGCCCGCCCCGCCCGGCGGAGGGCGGC